GTTATGAAAAATTCATATTATTTCATTAAAATTATTATAAAATAAAAATTATAATAATAATAATTGTATCACACCCAAAATTTTCCTGAAAAAAGCACCCCTAGAGTGAGTGATCGCTCCATTTTTTGTTACAAAAAAAAATTATTATTATTATTATTATTATTATAATTTTTATTTTATAATATTTTAATGAAATAATATGAATTTTTCATAACTTAAACATTTTTTCCGAGTCTATTTTTTCCGGGATTCGATTAAAAAATAAAATGATAAAAAAATGACATTTTCCGGATAAAAATGATTTCAAAACCGTAATTTAGCAATTTTTTATGGGAAAAAAAAAAGATGACCGTGGAATTAATCAATTACCTGAATCTTATTTTTTTTAATAAGTGACATGCTTTTAAAAAAAAATAAGTTTCTTACAACACAAAATAAAAATTCACGACGGCATTTTTAGAACAAAATTTTTTTAACATACATGTAGCATATAACGAAAGTATAATAATTGTTATATTATATAAAAAAAAAAAGATTTTAAAAATGTACCTCTATTAAAACTTTTATTTTGTGTTGTAAGAAACCTTTTCTTTCTTTCTTTTTTTCTAGAAGCATGTAACGTAACAAATAAATACTATACAATCACCTATGTCAGTGCTGAAAAATTGTTTTTAAAAATTGACATTTAAAATTTTTAACACTTTTTACACGTAGAATTTATAATACTAAAGTTAGTCAACGCTTTTAATTTTTTCATTAATTAAATTAGAAGTAAAAAATATTTTTAAAAAATTGCACTTATAGTTTTTTGCAAATGAAAATTTTGTTTTACTTTTCTGTAATAATTTTTTTAATAAAAAGAATTCTAAAAATTTTTAGATGTCGGCTAACTTAATTTTCATGTAAAATTTTATCAATTTTGTCGTGATTTAAAAAATGATTAAAAATTTCATAATAATAGAATTAGTAGCCATCTGATAATTTTTGAAATTTTTATAGCAAGCCAATTATGATAAAAAATATTTTTGAAAATTCACACTGAAAAATTTTTTTTTTTTAATTTATATAATTTAAATTTATACGTATGTATGTTAAATAATAAAAATAATAATAATAATGATTTTACCACTTCTTTAACATAATGTCGTGCTGTTTGAAACAAAAACCAGCTCGTTAATAAATCAGCAACGATAAAAAGTATCCTGAGTGACCAGAACGACAAATATCTGAGGATCCAGGTAAAAAACACAAGTCCGATGGGTGTTTCGTGGAATAAATCACCGCTGTAAGGATCAATTCCAAAATTATGTAAATGCACCCCTTCGGTAACTGAAATATAAATATATTTAATTAGTTCCTTGTAAAAGAAAAAAAAATACTTAATTGTGATTTGACAGATAAATTGAAAAATCATACCTCTTTTCCATGAATTTAACGCAGTTGATATTTCAACACGGTCACTAATTATTTTTTGTAATTGTGAGTTCATTAAAATTAAACGTATTCCACCCGCTAATGAACAGTACAGCAATTGTTTAAGTGACAACATTTTTATTTTTAATTTATAATTGTTGTTATTGTAATACTTTGTCAGTTTGTTTATTATTTCATAACCTCTAAAACGTCCACATTACAAAATTATCATTTGTTATGGTAAATATCTATGAATTTTATGCTATTGGAAGAACATTAACAACAATGTCTACTAACATTATTGTTATTATTAATTGATTACAACATTAACTAATTAACTTGAAAATAATAAAGAAATATTTTTTTAAAGGTTCAAGCAGTTGAGGTAGACTTTCGGACTATGGAGTGTATAACTGACAACTGCAACAGCGTAAGTCAAATTTATTTTTATATTTTTTTCATCTAAATTTATTGTTAAAAATTAAAAATACATAAAAATTATTCTAGCAGATATTTAAAAATTTTTAGAGTTTGTTTAACAAATAAATTATAGCAAAAAAAATGAGAAAATATAGAAAAAAAATTGACATGCAGAAATTTTAAAAAATTAAAAATGCAATTTTTTAAAAATAATAATATTATGTTTCAGTATAAATTTGTTTGTTAAAAGAAAATTAAAAAATGGTCTCGTAACTATAACTTTAATTTCCTAAAAATACTTTGAAATTTATTTAATATTTTTTCTAAAGAAAAGAAAATAGTTTGTAAGATATAAAATTATTTTTGAAATTTTGAATTTTTTTATGAGATAATTATTGAATTTATAGCACTTATTTTTGACAGAAAAAATCTGAAAGGATTGTAAAAAAAAAAAATTGAAGCAAATATTAAAAAATTTTCTGATTTTTTTCTTAATTAAATTAGAATTGACAAAATATTAGAAAAAAATTACGCTTTTATTTCTTAAAATCTTTTATAGGTGAAAATTTTCTATTGTAACTTTTTAATACGAAAAATTCCTTCAATTTTCAAATTTCTGCTAATTTTACTTTCATAAATTTTTAAGGATTTTATTCATGTCAAAAGAAATTGAAAAATTTAGTGTAAAAAAAAATTTTTTGAAATAATAATTAAATTTAATGAAGCTCAAAATATCATTAAAAAAACACTGTCTCTTTTTTCAAGTAAAAATTGTCTTTTTTTTTATCTTAAAATTTTTCATCAACAATTATTCATATTAAAATATTGTGAATATCTTATCTAAATCCACAAATGCAAAAACTGACTATTACATAAAAGTTCCCTCAATGATGTACCGTGCGCCAAGAAATATTTTCCTGAAATTGTACATAAAAGTTAATGAACAAATAAAATATTTATTATTTAAAATACATTTTAAAACTTCAACAGTTTATTTTAGTCAAAAATTTTAATCTAAAAAAAAAAAATAATAATAATAATAATAAATAGTTTTATTTGCACGACTTTCGTCTCTTACAAAGTTTTTACATATATTGGTCATTGTATGTTAATTGTATATATTATTTCTCTTTCCATTTGATCTTTCTATTTTTCTTTTCTTTTCTTTTTTCCTCTTGTTTGCACGTCGTTGTTCTGGTGACCCTCCTGCCCCAAACTCCGCAATCCCGTTTTTTCCCTTAGGATCTCTTTAATTTTTCTGAAGACCTTGCATGCTCTCCCGTCTATTCTTCCCTTTAGTACTTCTATTAATCTTTCTTCAACCTCTTCATTTTCTAAATTTTTCCATTCATTTAAAAAACTCTTTCCGTCTTCTCCAACTTTTTCATATAATATAAAAAAAATAATATATAATTTTTTTAATAATTTCTACCTTAAGGTAATAATCTGGTAATGTATTTTTTTAAAGATTTTTTTTTTTAGAATAGAAAAATAAAATTTAATCTTTTTTTTTTTTAAATAATTTATTATTGAATACTTAGAGTATTCAAAAAAAATTTTTGACTAAATTTTACAATGGCTTACTATTATTATTACCATTGATGATTAAAGTAGACGCCCAAAAACCAGACTACTACCTTTAAATTATTAAATTGATACATCACAAAATATAATCTGAAAAAAATGAATAATCAAAATATTTTTAGTTAATGCTTAATCATCAATAATATAAATTTTATAAATTACAACAATTACAATCCAATAATTAAACTTTGGTACTAAAATAATCTAAATTTAGCCAAAAAAGATCTTAATTAAGTAGAAAACAATTATAGTTCTTTTTCACTCAATGAAAAATGATATAATCATTACATTTGCATAATAAAAAAAAAAATTTACAGTGAATAATTATGATACTGAAATTAGCAGACACCTAAAAATCCTTTGAATTTTTATAACCAATCAATTATTATAAAAAATATACATTTTTAAAAATTTGCACTCATAATTTTTTTTAATATATGTGAAATGTTTTGCTAATTTTTTTTTATTATAATTTATTTGTTATAAAAATCTATAAAATTAGATGTCTGTTAAATTCTGTATTATAAAAAAAATTAAACATTAATTATTTACACATTCTTACTCATCATTTTCAAGTCACTAATATTTAAATAATAAAAAATCTCTCTAGTAAAAGTATCCGGCAATTTCCGACCAAAAACTTCATACAGAAGCTCTCCAGCTTTTTCCACAAACTTTTTCCTTTCTAACGCTCTGGTTAAATGATGATAAACAAGTTTTCCGTACAACGGAAACATTGATTCCAACTTACTGTTAACAGGAAAATTATCCTCATCAATATTCTTCAATCCTATCGCTAGCCTCTGGTGCGATTTATGCAACACACTGTAACAACTCAAGCTAGTTCCATTGATAATAGTTTGTTTCAGAGCTTCAACTTCATTACAGCAATCCCGGTAAAAATCATCAAACTCTTTCCCACTGACAGCGTCTAAATTGACACCAATGAGATGAAAGTTAGCAGCTTTCAGCTTGACAATATAATTTTTTATCGGACTTATGATCCGTTCCGAGGCATTTGGAGTATCAACAACCGCAAGTCCATTGCTGCTGACAAAATTGATATCAACTCCAGCATTCAGCAAGCAATTCACCAGCGAAGGTTGCTCAGACTTGACCGCGACCTGTAAAATATGTTTTGAATTATTTTGAGCGTCAGGATCAGCGCCATGATTGATCAAAAACTCAGTCATTGGAAGGTCTCCGCTATTGACAGCTTTAAACAACGCCGTGATGCCGTAGCTTATTGAATTAACATCAGCTCCAGCATCCAACAACACTCTCAGAATTCCATAATTGCTAGAATTCGACGCTAGCTGGACCAGCGGCCACGGTTTTGTTTTTATATTAACTTTAGCTTTGTTCTTAATTAGCAGCTTTACAATTTCTTTGTTTTTATTTTCCACTGCGAGATACAGCGGCGTTTTATCGTCGCAAATAGCATTTACATCAGCACCATGATCAATCAGATATTTTATAACTCGCAAATGACTTTTGTCAACCGCCAAATGTAAAGGCGAAAGCACGTTCTGGATGGGGATTATGTCAATTCCCGGATCCAGAACTCTTTCATAAGGATTAAAATTTTCGTAACCCATTGCTATGAAGTATCCCTTGTCCCCCAAGTGTATGCTCTCGCTGCCTTGATTTTTCAGCAACTGTTCCATGATTTCTTTTATTTCCTCGCTGACTGCGCTGTGGATTGTCGTGTACTGATAAGTTGGTTCTTCGAAGACCGATTGAATGTTCACATCTGCTCCAATTTGAAGCAACCTGTGGACCAGATCTGAACTGTAACTTCGAATTGCTAAGTTCAATGCTGGCTCGTATGACTTTGAAGTCATATTCACGTTCACGTTGTTATCCAGCAGGTAATTTATTAACTCCGGGTCGTATCTACTTAAAGCTAATTGGAGAACTGTTGGGTTGTCCTCTGATGATCCCGGGTACCTTGTGTTCACGCTCATCAATCCTTGCATTATTTTTTCACGCATTTCTTGATAGATTAAGTCAAACGGTAGAACTTTGACAGATGATGTCATTTTTTTATTGATCTGTTCCTGAAAAATTTTTAATTGGAGTTTATTGAGTTAGGAAATAAATATTAATAATGTTTATTTATATATAATATCTTTTGTTTTTTAATTCTTACCTCTTGTTGGTTTATAAACAATGTCAACACTCAAGTTATGGAATCCTAAGTTTAACCTCAGAACTTGGTTCTACTTTACAACTCCCGGCGAAAGAGCTGCAGTGTTTCTCCTACTATAGAAGAATTCAGTCTCAAAAACTAGTTATAGTATAAACGAATATTCACCAATTGACTGTAGTAAATTCTCTAGATTCATTTAATTTTTCCGCTCAAAAGGAGGAGAGAATTTAAATGACATTTAAATTTAAAAGTAAAAAAAATACTTAATTAGATTTAAATAACACTCATGTTTAGTTATGATATTAAAGTTAACAGTCACTTGACTATTTTTTAATTTTATTTAACAAAAAAATTATTTTTAAAAAATTGCATTTTTTTTTAAATTGCATTTTTTAATTTTATTTAACACAAAAATTATTTTAAAAAATTGCATTTTTAATTTTTTTTTTATAATACTAAAGTTAGTAGCCGACGTTTTTAATTTTTTGATTATTTTTCATTTATTAAATTAGAACTAAAAAATATTTTTTTAAAATTGCAATTATAGTTTTTCAAGTTTTTTTACAAATGAAAATTTTTTTTTATTTTTCCATAATGATTTTTTCAATAAAAAAAAAATTCTAAAAATTTTCAAAATTCTAAAAATGTCGGCTAACTTAATTTTTTTTTTTTTGCCATAATTTATTTATTACAAAAATTCTAAAAATAATCAAAAATCTGCTAAATTAATTTTCATTGTTTAGTTATTTATATTTGAAATTGGTTGCCATTGATCTGCTACTTTTTATTAAAATATTCGAATATAATAAATACAATCCCTTTTTTGTCTCACGAACGTTTATGAAAGTTAGCAAATATCTGTCATTTTTTGGACTTAAACAATAAATAAATTACTAAGAAAAAATTTTTTGAAAAATTACAATAATTTTTTTACATGATACTGAAATTAGCAGACGTCTAAAATTTTTTTAAATCTCTATAACAAAATTAATCATTAGAAAAAAAATATTTTTCTAAATTCGTACTTATAATTTTTTTAAATTTCTACATGTCAAATTCTTTTGCTAAATTTTTTTCATTATAATTTAATTATTATAAAACTTTAAAAATTGTTAGATGTCAGTTATAAATTCATGAAAATTAATTTAGTAGATATCTAATCATTTTAAAAATTTTTGTAACAAATAAATTATAGGAAAAAAAAAATTGACAAGTAGAAATCAAAAAAAAATAAGTGCAATTTTTTGGAACAAATTTGTTTGTTAAAAAAAAATTAAAAAATAGTCAAGGGACTGCTAACTTTATTGTCATTATAAATTCCGTATCATTTTTTTGACACATCTACAAGTGGAATTTTTTATAATAATTTATTTGTTTAAAAAATCCTCGAAATCATCATATGTCAGCAAAATTAAGCACCATGAACGTTTTGGAAGATAAGCTACTTAAAAGATTATGACAATAAATATTAATTAGCAATATGTATAGCATATTTGTAACTTTGTTTAAGTTTTTCAAAACCTTCGCTATCTTATTTTAATTGACTATCACAATATATGTGTAATAACATCATCTTCGCTAATTATTTATTATTAGACGTCTGGAGTTTTCTAATATCTCAATGGGGTTTCCCAACTTATTCTCTAGATGAAAATTTTACATAATTTTCATGATACTGAAATTATCAGACATCTGATAATTATTTGAGTTTTTATAACAAATCAATTGTTACAAAAAAATCATTTTTAACAATTCACACTCATAATTTATGAAAGTTAAGTTAGCCGGCATCTAGAAATTTTTATAGTTTTTTTATTGAAAAAATTATTGTAAAAAAATTGAAAAAATTTTCATTTGTAAAAAAACTTGAAAAACAATTTTTTTTTTTTTTTTTTTAATTTGTTTAAAGTCGCATAAACTACTAAGGTCATGAGCGACTACAGTAGGGGGTAAACTTTTGAGATTGGAACTCATTTGTATTTCTTGGGCTGAGCAGAATAATACACTTAAATATTGAAAATATTCATTGGTGTACGCCGGACTCGAAACCCGGTCCAATGCTTTGGTAGCAAGGGCCGGATCCGACAGGCTATTGCGCGCCTAAAACAATTTTAAAAAATGTTTTTTAGTTCTAATTCAACAAACGAAAAAATATCAAAAACGTCGGCTAACTTTAGTATTATTTATTAATTTTTTAAATTTCTACATGTAAATTTTTTATGAAAATTAATTTAGTAGATATTTGATAATTTTACTAATTTTTTCAACAAATAAATTGGAGCAAAAAAAAATTAAAAAAAAATTGACGCGTAGAAATTTAAAAAAATAAAAAATGCAATTTTTTGAAAATAATTTTTTGAAAGAAATTTGTTTGTTAAAAAAAGTTAAAAAATGATCAAATGACTGCTAACTTTAATGTCATAAATTTTTTTCATAACATTTAATTGTTAGAAAAATTAAAAAAAAATTGATGAAAATTAATTTAGCAGATATTTAATAATTTCAAGAATTTTTTTAACAAATTAACTATGGCAAAAAAAATTAGAAAAAAAATTGATATGTAAAAATTTTTAAAAATTAAAAATGCAATTTTTTTAAAATAATTTAACCAAATTTGTTTGTTAAAAAAAATTAAAAAATGGTCGAGACTGCTAACTTTAATGTCATAAAAAATTGTTAAATTCAGTATCATTCATTTTCCCCAAATATTTCCTACCTTTAAATTATACATATTATATTTTATCGAGTTTTTGAATTTTCTGCCGAACATACTATTGTTATTGTTATTATATTATGAAGATTCCTGATTTTATTTATAGAGAGCGTTACAGTCAGCCCCTAGGATACACAACACAGACAGTTCTTCCGCTGGACAATACTTAGATTACTAAACAGCTGATTATGGTATGTATGTATACAACTAGAAGTATGAAATTAACTATTTTTCACTAACAAACTATTTTTTATTTTCAGAAGTGCTACCGAGTGATTCAAAGGTTGCGTATTTTTTAATTACTAATAACAAAAGTAATTATTTATTAGTTTTTTACTCTAAGAAAAAATTTATGACACTGAAATTAACAGACAGTTGAAAATTTGTGGTATGTTTTTAACTAATTGTTATGGAGAAAATTTTAAAAAATTTTGTGAAAATAAGTTTTAAAAAAGTCAATGAAGTTTTTTATTTTTTTTAACTAAATTATTTTTCAAATTAAATAAAAAAAATTGTCAGATATCTGTTATTTTTATAATTAATTAAAAAAAGTTTTAATTTTTTAGATTTTCTTAAAATTTAAATTAAATATTTAAAAATTTTTTAACAAATAAATTCTTAAAAAAAAAAAAAATTCTAAATCTCAAAATTTGTGATACTGAAATCAAAAACCTTACAATATTTTTAATTTTTGTAACAATTAAATTATCACGAAAAAAATTAATTAAGAAAAGTGCGAATTTTCATAAATATTTTTTTAAACACAATTAATCTATTAATAAAATTTCAGAATTTTTCAGTAATGATAAAAATAAAAAAAAAAAAACTAAGAATGCCATTTTTTTATCAAAATTTTTTTATAATAATTTATTAAAAAAATTTTAATTTAGATGGATATAAAGAAAAGACCTAGATTACCAAGACCTACTGGTACCAATAAAAAATACACATTTTTTATTTGTGGATTTATAACGGTCCTTGGATGCACACTTTATCAAACAATCATTTCACCAATTCTTGATCCACAACCATGGAGTAAGTATAAAAAATTTATTAATGATGAATTATATGATAACTCGATTAAATATTATTTTACTTTGCAGAAGACTATAGAGATAAATTGTATGATCAGTTACCGAAACGAAACGAAGACTAGCAATGTACATTTTAGTTAACTAAATCGAATATGTAAATGTTTAAAATTCATTATTGCAAATAAATATTGAATAATTTTTCAAATATTTTTTTATTCATAAAAAAACGATCTTATTTACATTAACTAAAATACGATTTTATTACTTTATATAAATATAAACTATGTACAATATTGTGTAGACATAAATTTTTTTTTTATAATTTATTAATAATCAATCATTAATAAATTAGACGTTTTTTTTTTTTTAATTATTTAGAATATTTTGTTCGATTAATAAACTTAGTTGTTTTTTAAAATTCATTGTCATCACAGACATCGAGGAAAACATCGAATGCCTCACGATTGCAATTACCTTCAGACGTGAAAACATATTTGTGAAATGTTCCATCCACACAAACCGCTAAAAGTAATTAAAAATTTCAAAACAATTCTTTCAATATGTATCAATAGTTGAAAATAATTACCTATCACTGAATTACGGGATCCAAATGCGCATACACACGCACATTCAGGTGGTACTGTGAATGTAGCTAGCGCCCATTGACTTTCAACATAATTACCGAGAAATCTCATTTTAGAAAACCTAAAAATGATATTAATTTTCTTATAATACACTGAGAGAAAAAATTTCTTTTAAAAAATATGAGTAATTTTGTAATAAGAACTTAATTTGTTAAAAATTTTATTTTTTAGCTGAAGAAATGAAAATTTTTTTCAGTAATTTTTTCAAAAATCGAAAAAACTTTTTTTTAACAAGAAAGTTACTGAAAGAAAAATTTTGCGTTAATATTTACAAGTGGGGTCAACCATTTTAATTTTCATTTTTTTGAACGAAATTTCTATTTGATTATATTGATATATTTTTTTTTGAAAAATACATAAAAAAAAAAAAGTTGATTATCACAATTTTAACAAATTTTCAAAAAAATTTATAAATTTTTTAGAAAATTATGATATTCAACTTTTTTTTTATAAATCCGCCGTAAAAATAAGCAGAATAAAAAAAAATTTTAAATATTAATTTTTTACCTAGTTATGGCCCAAAATATGTTTGACCCTACTTGTAAATAATTACCAAATTTTGATTTCTTCAGCTGAGAAATAAAATTGTTGAAAATTCTCAACAAATTAATTTCTTATTACATTACTAATTATTTTCAAAAGAAATTTTTCCTCTCAGTGTAATTTTATAAGAATCATTAAGTCATTAGTACTAGAATAAATTTGGATCAGTACTCACGTAGATCGACGGTTAAGATGAGTGTCTTTTAATGCAAATATATGTACAGTGCCTTTATCACTAGACATGCAAAGAAATTCTGAGTCTCTACTAAATGTTATACTGCAAGAAAAATTAAAACAATTATTTATTATTCCTACATATAAATTTATTTATTAATCTCAATAAACGCTTTGGATAAATTTAGAAAGTGTTTTTCAATTATGACCATGACCATTAATTTCCATGGAAAAAATTTAATTTAGATTAAAATGAGTAACTATCCGAAGAAAAAATTTTTTAATAAAATTATTATAAGTAAAAGCACAAATTATTGACACTACAAAGGATGTAATTAGGATTGCAATTTTTTTTTTTAATATTTAGTATTAAGATTCTTGAATTTTTTTAATATGATATTAATCATAATAATCAAAATTTATTGACTGACTGAAGAAAGTAAAACTATTAAAAATAAACATTTGTTTATTACTTATTATTCATTGTTTGTAAATTAAATCTTTAAAATAAAAAATTTTAAGTTACTGCACTATCTAAACTTAATGTCAGTATAATGCAGCTTAAATTTAATGTAAAAATTATTGACACCTATTATTTCAAAATTAATAAATACAGTAGAACCTCGTTAATAAATATTAAATTAAATGTAAATATTTAATAACTTTGATTTTTTTTATCTATTCATAAGAAATAAACAAATTGAAAAAAATTAAAAACAAGCTTTACGTAATAATTATATTTGAGCGCTTGTCTCGAAAATTGTTAAGGAATTTCTCACTCACATTACAATTTCGAGTAAACTGTTTTTTCTTTTTATTAATTAATATTTTATATTCTTCACTGCTATCAATTATTTTTTATTCTTAAAATTATGAAAATTGTATAAGCAAAGAAGATTATTATTAATATTATTGTAATTAAATAAACCTCAAAATAAAATTCTTTACTTCATTTGAAAAAAATATTTTCCTGGGCAAAATTAATTTAATAAAAAAATTATGTCAGATCATATTAATTGTAGAATAAAAAATTTTATTCTAAATAACGTTGAATTTATTAAATTACCAGTAAAGTGTAGCAGGATCAGCACCACGCCTAAGTTCAACCAACAACTGTCTTCTTACGCTGTCCCATACTCTGACAAGAGTACCTTGTGCTGATGCAGTAGCAACCATTGTCCCATTGGGATTAACAGCTAGACAGGCCAACGATCCCTAAAATGAATTAATCATAATTTACCATATCAGAAATCAAGAAATTTTAGATTTAAGCGACCCATGAAAAAAAAATTTTGGACAAAATAAATTTACATCTGAATTTTAGATTGAAATTCATATTTTGACACAAATATGAATTAGTCTTGAGATCAATACAAATTTTAAATTGATTTGTAGATAGAAATTAGCACGCCTGTACAACTTTTGATCCTGCTTCAGAATTTTTATAAAGATTTCAAAATATTTAGGAGAAATTATTACATTAAATAATTATCGTATACTTACAAATCTTATTTTAAATAAATACTAGGCTTATACTGAATTATAATCAATTTTTTGTAAAATTGCAATTAATTATTTTATAAAAAATTGATTTTAGTTCAGCATAAATTTAATATATATTTAAAATAAGATTTGTAAGTATACGATAATTATTTAATGTAATAATTTCTTTAAAAAACTGGGTAAAACCCATATTGAAAACAATTTTATTCGTAATTTAAGACGAAATTATATAAAATTTATCCCAAATATTCTTAAGTCTTTATTAAAATTCTGAAACAGGATCGAAAGTTCTACAGGCCTGCTAATTTCTATCTACAAATCACTTTAAAATTTGGATTGATCTCAAGACTACTTCATATTTGTGTCAAAATATGAATTTCAATCTAAAATTCAGTTTTTAATTCATTTTTAATCAGAATTTTTTTTGCATGGAGAATTAATGAAAAAAAAAAATTATATCATTTACTTGATGAGCAGCCAAGGTGGCTGGTGCCGATGAACTGCCAGCTTCAGTAGCAGCCAAGTCAACCAATTGTACACTGCCCAATTTATGACCAGGAAACGCTAGTAATTGTTTATGCGCTGTTGCCAATGTTGCTACTTCAACTAAGCCCTTTGGATTATCACGAGTTTCAAGGGTCAATAGTCGTCTCGTAGGAAACGGAAATGAGAAAACATGTATTTCTCGCTGTAATGCCACTATCAATCTAAAAAAAGTGTTTTTCAATTTTTGTTAATAATTAACTAGCAATCTGCAGTCACATAGTGACTGTCGAGATTTACGGATTGTGAGTAAGAAAACTTTGGCTTAGTCATTTTTTGATATTTCTAACACTGTACATAGTTTGTGTACTTTTGGAATAAATTTTAAAAATAATAGTGCTATTACAGGATCAATTACAGATAATTTAATAGACAAATGAGACCAAAAAAATTTATAGAACTAACAAACTATTCAAAACTCCTCCCAAATTTTAACATAAAAAATTGACTATTACTGAAAAATGTATAAAACCGTAAAAAGGCACAAATTCTTTTATCAAGACTTTTCTGATGATGCCAAATGTAACTATAAAAATTTTTTTCTAAATCATAATATGCTCGTTACAAAATTTTCCTTAGTCTCTTAATTATAGAAATTAATTTTTGACCAATAACCTCGTTCACATGTACAAAATAAAATAAATAAATAAACGAATGACGTTTATCGAAAAATTCGAATCTATTTAGAATAACTTCGAAAAGTTATCATAATGAATTAGCTATTGCTGAAAATCATTTTAAACATTAAAAAAGCTTAAATTCAGGTCATGACTTTTCCAATGATACTAAATTCAATTTAAAAAACTCATTTTATCATATAAATACGCAGGAGACCAAATTTTCTTTATTCTCTTAATTATATAAGCATCCTCTTGGAGGAATGTATTAAACGGTGTGCCACAAGGCAACGTGCTTGGCCCTTTACTGTTCTCGCTTTATATTTCGGATCTCTCTCAACAGCTGAGCTGTCGATATTTGCTTTATGCTGATGATTTAGTAATATACTTGCCCTGCTATCCAGAACAGATAAATGATTGCGTTGCTGCACTGAATGCGGAAATAGTTAAAATTGTAGAATGGTGCAATATCAATTACCTTAAATTAAATGCATCGAAATCACAAAAGCTGTGATTTTTGGTAGTAGAGTTAAGGTTAACTGTAATAATTGTAAGTATACTGATTGTATTCGCGTAAATGATTGCGTTATCCACTACGATACGACAATTAAGTATCTTGGCGTGTTAATTGATAGCACTCTCACCTGGAAAAATCAGGTTATGAGTATTTGTAATAGGGCAATGCGGGTTCTGGCGCAGTTGAAGATCAATAATGAAATCTTTAATAAAAAACTGCGTATAAAGCTTGTCACCACGTTAATATTCCCAGTGTTTGATTATTGTTGTGCGGCATACTGCAATATTACTAATGACTTGCAGATGCGATTACAGCGCAAAATGAATTGCTGTGTTCGCTATATCTATAAAATTGCGAGGGCTGAGCACATTACTCCGTACTTTAAGAGACTAGGTTGGTTAAAGCTGAGTGACAGAAGAAACTACTTTATAGCATGCCTCTTTTACAAAGAAATATATCTAAATTATCGTCAGCTATTCAAATGTCACTTAGAATTCTTGCCGGTTGCGTTGCGTAGAGGCGATGTAAGAGAAGATTATCTGCGGCTACCTAGATCTAATTGTTGTATGTATGATAACTCTTTTCTTGTTCGTGGCATACGCATCTGGAATGGGCTGCCAGCCGAAATTACAAAAGCCGAAAGCTTCGAAATATTCCGTAGACTGTGCTATGATTATTATTTCCAAAATTATTGATCTGCTATATTGAACGTTTATTACCGTTATTAAAGGTGGCTGAGCTTTGTATAACACACGTATTATTTATAAGTATAATTAACATGTTATTTACTATATTTATTTTAATTTTATTCTTATGTATTTAAAACTCTGTACTTCATACACTAATTATAAATATATATTTGATGATGGTTCTGAGGGAGCCTAGGCTCCAGAATCCAATAAAATTATTATCTATCTATCTATCTATCTATCTATCTATATAGATTAGTATTTAATCGTTATTGTTCATTTGAAAAGAATAATTTTAATGGACTTTTTTGAGAATTTTGAGAGTATAATTTTTGGAAAAAAGAATTTTGTAACGACCATTATGAATTTTTCACTACTTTTAACTTTAAATTAAAATTCTCTAAAATCATTGTTTCTGTTGCATTATGAAATTAATTAAATATTGTGGGGTATTAAAAAATTAGAATTCTATAAAAAATTTTATAATTTTGTAAAATTTTATTCTGGGAATTGTTTAGTAAAATTTAATTATAATAAACATTTATCGCAAAATTCGAATCATTTAGAACTACTTCGAAAAATTATAATTAATTAGCTATTGCTGAAAATCATATGTAACATTGAAAAGGCACAAATTCAGGTCATGACCGTTCCAATGAAACTAAATTAAATTTAAAAAGCTCATTTTATCATATAAATACGCCGGAGACAAAAATTTTCTTATTCTCTTAATTATACAGATGAATAAGTTGAAAATAAAAAAAAAACAAAATAATGCATATTTAATCTTATGAATGAAGAATTATATCAAAACTATTTACTAAAAGTCCAAGTTTCAAATTCTGAATAAAATATCAAAAATAAAAAAATTATTAATAAAATTTCTTCTTAAAAAATTGTTTGTAGATAATTGATAAAATATAACTGATAATTAATGATATATTTTTGGACCAACATGATAGTATATATGAATTAGAATTTTGGCCTATTTTCGGACGAAGACTAGTGTTTTTCTAATTTAAGTCTAAAGATGTATCTTTCATCTTCCCTTTTGATCGAGAGCTATATTCTCTCTTCACAGTAGTTCGATGGGTATCCATCAAACTTAAATACTAGTAAAGCTGGAAGCTTGTAGTATCTGATCGAGTTATGAGGATGTTAATAAAGTAAAAGATAGTTATTAACTTAATAACGCACTTAATTAACATCCTCATAACTCGAACAGATACTACAAGCTTCCAGCTTTACTAGTATTTAAGTTTGATGGATACCCATCGAACTACTGTGAAGAGAGAATATAGCTCTCGATCAAAAGGGAAGATGAAAGATCCATCTTTAGACTTAAATTAGAAAAACACTAGTCTTCGTCCGAAAATAGATCAAAATTCTAATTCATATAACTGATAATTTTTAGTAATTTAAGATGTTGGAAATTACTTACTTGTCGCGCCGTAAGCGTACAGCTTTGATCGGGCTTGTAAATGTTATTTCCATAACAAATTTTTTGACAACGTCGTCGTAAATTAATACGGTATTATCAGCAAATTTCGGTCGAGTACCACCTCCGACAACCGCTATTATGTTTGTTCGCCATAACATTTCACCAATAGCGATGCTGCCCATCAAGTCATTTTCAAAATGAGCTTTTTCAACCAAAGGCTCGACGTTGTATACTCGTAACCCAGACTCCATACAACAAGTAAAACACCCTTAAAAACAAAAAATAAAAAATAAAAACATTATTAATTTATAATATAGAATTTTTAATTGATTGTATTATATTTTAGATAAAAAAAGAATTATTAGATCACATTTAGACCAAAACAATAAGGTTTTATTTAATTAAAAATAAATATTATTAGATTTGATTTTAGAAAACAATTTTTTTAATTTTATTTATTAGTTAAGATAAACGAATTTTTTTTTTAAATAACATTAAAATTACCAGGCACTTGACCATTTTTGGATTTCATGTAATAAATAAACTAGGTCTAAAAAATAATTTTTTATAGCTTCTAAATACAGAATTTTTATTGTAATTTATTTGTTAAAAAAATGATACTGAAATTAGCAGACATCTAACAATTCATGAAATTTGTATAACGAATTAATTATTACAAAAAAAAAAATATTTTAAAAAATTAGCACACAATTTTTTTTAATTTCTACATGTTGAATTTTTTTTTCTAAATTTTTTTTATTATAATTTAATTGGTATAAAAATCTAAAAAATTGTTAGATCTCTGTTAAATTCATTATAATTTAAAAAATCATAAAAATTATCAGATATCTTCCAATTTCAGTATCATTTTTTGAAAAATGATACTCAGAAATTAATTTTTGAATAAGAGATATAAATTACTATGTACCTATTCAACAACAAAAAATTATTAGAGCGAATTTTTGAAAAATTTCACATGTAGAAAAAAAATTTTTAGAAGTTTGTTGACTTTAATATCAAGTCGGATATTGTCCGCTCATTTTGACAGTTGACAACATTATCTACCTAGAGATGATTAATTTAAATAATTTTTGTAAGTATAAAATATTTCACCTGTTTTATTTACAAAATAAAATATTTCGAAAAATTTCATTCATTTTTAAAAATTTTTGCATGCAGTACCCACTAAAAAAAATTTTTTTGTAATAGTAAAATCTCCAAAATTTTCAGTCTGTTTAGAATCGTAGAAAAAAAAATAAAAATGTGCGCAGTATACAAAAATACTCAAAATGAAAAATATGTTTAAAAAATTAATTTCATTAGCATTTTTCAAACTTTTTAAAAAAATTAAAAAATATTGATAATCATTTAAAAAATAAATAACAATATTTACCTTGGTCTTGGTTAAACCGTAAATTAATAATACCCCGTCCAGCAGCCATCTTATTAATATATTTCTCCTAAAAATAAAACTAAAAGTAACAATGATTAACAATCGCAATAGCAACAATTAATTTTTATTTAAACAACAAATTCTTGGTTAATATAGTCACATTACTACGCAAAATATTTCCAGGCTCTTTGTTTATTTTTCACTAATATATATATACTCAATAAAATTTGCACGCACTGTACTATTAAATACTTTATTTATTTGAGAAGAATATAATTCTGACACCTGTCGGAATTTTCAGAACTAAGCGGACTTTAGAACTTTTCTACATTACCAGTGCAATAGTAAAACACAACAAAAATAATAATAATAATAATAAAAATAATCACAATCATAAAATAACAATGATAATTACTACACTTTTATAGTGCAATATATACGTACATAAATATATTACGTATTGTGCGTATAAGTGAAAAAAATCAGACTGAGCCAAGCTTTGAGTTATTGTTTTACAACATAAATCTTAACAAAATTGTTATTATAATAATATTAATAACAATAATATTAAAAACAACAGTAATAGAATTGAATAATTAAAATTATTTATTCTAACGTAAGTACGCACAGTAGCAATAAAAAACAACAAACGTTGATTATTTATTTTATTTATATTTTTGTAAACTGCGTCAGTTACGAATTAGTACGTAATAAATGACTGAGTGTTTTATTATTATTAATTTTTCGTTAATTACATTTTTTTTTCAAGTCACGCCCGAAATTAAAATTAAATAAATATTTTTTTTTAATTTAAAATAAATTTTTTAAACAATTTCTTGACTCGTAGACTTTGCCTTGAAAGTTTTAATTTATGAAATAGAATCTAAATTATAATTACGGGCTAATAGGTCATGAACAGACGTAATTTATTTATACATGGGCATGCGTTTTATTTATTGGATCGTTTGTTTAGTTTTTTTAAATTTTATCTTCAAGAAGAAATGTATTGAATTTATTCTAATAATAATTTTTATTTTCAGGGATCACTAGAGTATGAGTAAGTCTTTATGGATCGCCAATAATTCTGAATTTATATTTGAGAGTAATAACACAAGCTTTGAAGAAATATCTTTTAACTGTAATTATTTTGACGGTATTAACAAAAGGATAATTGATAATATAAAAATAAAATGCCGCCAAAACAAAGAAAAATAGCTATCATGGGATACAGATCTGTTGGTAAATCATCGCTGAGTATACAATTTGTTGAAGGACAATTTGTTGATTCTTATGATCCAACTATTGAAAACAGTAAGTTGTTTTTTTAATTAATTAATTATGTTATCTTCAATTTTATATTCATGAAATTAGCAGACTTATTTTTTTTTAATTTAAACTTGAGAATATTCGTGCGTAAGACATAATAGTAGATTGAAGTTTTATTTTTCAGTTTTGATAAGTTTAATCATGAAAATTGAAAATTCGTTGTCGATTATTTCAAAAAGTAATTGATGATAAAAAAATTATATTTTTAACATGCAACTTTATAGCAGATCAGCATTTTTTTAAATTAAAAATTATAATATTTATATCATTAAAGTAGATACTATAATAAATGATTTTTGAAAAAATTATTTGATTCATGCAGCTTATATAAATGCATCATAGTGTTGACGAACGTTTAAATTAATTATTTATTATTTTAGTGGGTGTAATTGAAATTATTTTAGTTGATTTTTTAACGTACTGAAAACAAGCACCTCAATACAGCTAATTAAATAGTTAGAAATAACAGATTTGTCTAATTTAATAAACAATAAAAATGAACGTGATTTTTTTTAACTAAATTCTTAACGGGTTGTATGGGTTTCCTCCGGGAAAAATGGCCTACTTTTAACAATTTTTTTTTAATATAAAGAATGGAATATTTAATTCTTACTGTCTTAAAGATACATATTTAATAACGAATTACTGAAATTTTTGGAAAAAATTAAAAACTCTGCCATTGTGACGTCATATCCGGCGAGCCCTCGAAAAAAAGATGCGTTCGCGTTGACACCAGACCTCCTAGCAGGATCATTTGAAGTGAAAAAATAAATGTGCTTTAGTTAAGACTTCAAACTAAAACTTAAACGAAGGAAAAAAAAATGAAAATTGGATTTTTGGCAGAGATTTTTACAAAAAAATGAAAGATTTGGTTAAAAATTCGCGGCATTTTTTTATTTTAAATAGTAATTAAAAAAAAAAATCTTTCGTTTGAGTCCATGTAAATTGTATCTCGGAGGCCTGTCTAAAATTTCATCAAGATCAAAACACAGTTTTGAGAAAAACGCGTTTAAAGTCTAGCGTAACGCATGAACGTCTTTAAAGCTGTAAAAAAAAAAAAAAGTTTAAATTTCTTGGTAATTTTTTTTTGTTAATCTAATTATAATTTACAATTTTAGATGTTTGTTTGAAAGTAATTATTTATGATTATAATACTATTATCCAAACTGTGTAAAATTACATAGAACAGTTCACAATTTGTTAATGAAAGAGCTTACTTTTTATTTTAAGTATAAAAATATAAAAGAGGTATAAAAGATACATTTTGCATTACTTCAAACTGTATCTAGTTATGTTGAACTTGGTAATTAGTTGGATTAAAAGCCGCTTTATTGATAATGGCTCTATTGGAGATCGTGAGTACCAGGTCATTGACCTTTAGAACTAATACTGTAATGGAGCGAAGTATTATTTTCATTCATAAAATGTAGAATCATTGAGTTCCAGGTCAAAACTTCAATGAGACTGGAAAACGAATAATCTTTTGGATTGTGTTTATATGCTTATTTTAAAAGACTCTTTGTGACAAATAATCTGACATAATTCCCGAAAATAATGTTATCGTTCAGGGATTTTTGTTAAGATTCAATGACCTACACAGAAAAATAAACTTCTTGCACCAAGAAAATTTTAAGGAAGACAAAAGTTATTTTGGAGCAAGAAGAAGTTTTCTTTTTCTTGGCTTAAGAAACTTTGACTCCATTCAAGAAATTTTCAATTTTCCTTAATATTTTCTTGAACCAAGAAAATTTACCCTCCAGTCAAGAATTTTTTTTCAGTGGAGTATTAAACAAAAATTTTTTTCTGTAAGTAATTTTTTACTGGTGTACAAAACACTAGTAAAAAATTATAATAAATTAAACTTATCATAGAAGAAAAGACCATTCGACATAAGAAATATAAGCGTACATTCCTATCTGCGCTACCAATACATTTATTTTTTAATCATTTATTGAGTTTAAATGCCAAGGCAGTAAGCCGAATGGCAAAATTACAAATGTTTAACTATAAAAATAAGTTTAAATACACGTACAGTTATAGCAAGTATTACCATGATAAATAATACATTATACAAATGATACATTTTATCGCAATAATAATTTTACTTAATGATGATGGTAGGATAAATTTAGATTAATTACACACATACATTAGATTAATAAATACACATACATATTTTTTGCAAAGATAAACTGAAATTTTTTTATTAAATTTTAGCGTCTACCCTGAACTTGAACAAACTGGGGCCATATAATTTTAACAGCACTCTACTCTCTAATAGGTTTATAGACTAGTGATCAGCATTGTGATTAGTATTGATTACTGCAAATTAAATAAGTTTCATAGTTAGAAGAATTCGTGTAGTTAAAAATTATCGAACATTTTGAATTGAGTTTTTTGATTTATAATTGAAAATTTGCTTTGTCATTCATAAAAAATGTAATTGAGAAATTAAATACAAATATTTCTCATTTTTAAATAAACATATTAAATATTCATAGAATTATTTTTAATATTAATCAAGAATATGTTATAATTCTTATGATACTTTTATAAAACGTCGAAAATTTTTGTTGTGCCTACCCGTGTAAAAAAAAAATCGTCTTAAAATTGTCTTAAAATTGTCGTTCGTTTAAGATCTTAAACGTGACACAAACTAAGACTATTTTAAAACTCTTTTAAGACGCCAAAAGAAAAATTCCGAGAGCAGATTTTTGAAAATTTTATTCTCGAATTTGTTGTGAAAATTAATTTTTAGATGATTTTACGACTTTCTAACCGCAATATTTTTGAGTAAGATGTTTTTAAATTGAATTTAAAATTGTTAAAAAATTATTATCTGACAATTTTAAGACTTTTTTAAGACGTTCCGTTTTAATGTTCCGGGGCCTAACGGGGATAATGACTTAGTCCGCTCGGCCGTCATGCCGCTCGTAAAAATTTTTTAATATTTTTTTTTTCAGATTTCTTTAAGACTATTATAAGATTTTTCAAGACTATTTAAAAATTATTTTAAAACTTAAATCTTAAATAGTCTTCAAAAAAATCAAAATAATTATTAAAAAATCTCGGAACTTTTTTTTTTGGCATCTTAAAAGAATCTTAAAATAGTCTTAGTTTGTGTCACGTTTAAGATCTTAAACAAACGACAATTTTAAGACGATTTTTTTTTACACGGGTATTGCCACATATTTTATTAGTTCAACCACTGTTGCCGGAGTGTTTATCTACTGCGGTTTATCAGAATTGATAGTTTAACTACTACTCTTTTCATAGTCTATCTTAAAAACGTTGTCAAAATATAAATATTCAATTATCCGCGTTATTTTGCGCTTCAATCAATTCAAAATTGTTTATATTTCCATGAAAATCACTAATTTGAACTAATAATTACATATTTATTTATATATAGTAGGGAACTTTACCTTTCAAATTTTTAGTTTATTCCACGACATCTGATTCAATAATTGAAATGCTATTATGAAAACTAATTTATGTAGAAATAGGTCTGTTCATAAAAAATTTATTAAAATATACTTCTGTTGTACTTACCTATTAATAGAAGTTTCACAGGGAAGTAGAATAGTATTGATCGTAATCTAATTATATATATTTAACTGTCATGAAGTGTATTGTCAAGGTAAAAATGATAATACTAGAATTAGCAAACATCCGAAAGTATTCTAATACTTGTTTAAATAATTTTATTATAAAAAAATGTTTTAAAAATTTGAACATATAGCTTAAATTTTTTTTTTTATTTCAATTTTACGTTCATGATTAATACTAATTTTTTTTTATTGAGAAGATATAATCCCAAAAATTAAATAGATACCTGCTACTTTTGACGCCGAAGTTGATCGATGATTCAATGTTTCGAAATCATTTACAGGCTTATGAATATCATAATTTATTTTTTTTTAACAACAAAATAATTGTTAAATGTTTGCTGACTTTAAACGGCATTGTCAATAAAAATCCAATACTATAGACATCGAAAAAATTTTTAAATAAGAATAATTTAAACAGTTCAGTTTCAATTGTATAAAAAAATTCGCATGCAAATTATTAAAAATTTTACACATCCATATTAAAAATTTAAATTTTGTGACTTTTTTTATCTAATAATATTTTGACTATCGTCTAAAATTTTTGAATTTCGTCTAAAATAATTAAATTTTTTATAAAAATAAAATTATAACCCTTCTGACAATTTTTAGAATTTCTTTATTGAAAAAATTTAAAGAAAAAAAATCCATGTACAAAAAATTTGAAAAAACATTCGTACAATTAAAAAAAAATAATTTTTTTATTATAAAGAAAATTATTAAAAAAAAACTTAAAATTTTTTTTGTGTGCTAATTTTGGTACCACTAGATTTTTTACAAATATTTACTTTTAAAATTAAAAAATTTAAGTCATGAAATACGCTACTGAATTTTTAATTGATATAATACGTAATAAGATACAAAATTGAACGTTTAATTGATATAATAAGTCTGAATTACTATTTAAAACGTATTTTAAAGTTTAACTTTAATTGAAATCACTGCTATCATTTGATTATTTACTCTACAATCGTTTGTTCTGATTTAGCTTCATATTCAAAATTAAGTTTTTAAATTATTTATAATAAAATTTTATTTCACATCAAATTAAATATCATATAGTTAATAAATGTTTATTCGTATAGGTTAAAAAATGATTAAAAAATTAATTAAATTTTTATTTTGATTTTAAATGATAAATTAGAAGTTTGCAATGGAATTGTTTCCGGGTGAAGACTAGCACCAGAGGTGACAGTTTTAAGAACTTAGCTCTTAACAAATCTCATATAATTTTCTATAAGACACAACTTTTTCATGAAGATTTTATTGTATTGTATAAAAGAACAGTAATTATATTTAAATAATTGAATTTTATTTATTACAGCATTCACTAAAAATACACGAGTAAATAGTCAAGATTATGAAGTAAAATTAGTTGATACAGCTGGTCAAGATGAGTACAGTATATTTCCAACGCAATATTCCATGGACATTCACGGATACGTGTTAGTTTACAGTATAACGAGTGCTAAGAGTTTTGAAGTCGTACAGATAATTTACGATAAATTGCTAGACATTACAGGAAAAAATCAGTAAGTATTTTCTTTTTAACTAAACTATAACTAAGTTGTTAGTATCATAGATGTATTTCAAAGTTAGCAATAAGATGACTAAAAATAATCTTACACTGTAAATTAAAATAATTTTTATGGAGATTTTTTGAAAAAACTTGTCTATTTTAATTTATTAAGTAATAGGATGATACCTTAAAATAATAATCAATAACAACAAAAAAAATAATATAGCTAATTTTACATTTTATTAATAATTAGCTAAAAAATTTTACATTGATTACTTATTTACATATTTACATAATCAGATATAAAAATTTTATAAAAAATAAATACAAATGAATATTTAATTAAAAAAAAAAAAATTAACTCTACATAAGTCGTTACAGAATCTTCGGAATCATCCGATAATAAAAACAAGGATTTTTTTGGTCATATTTAGAATTTACAGATTCTAATATCTGGCTTTCAAATTCTTTTACTGCCAGCTTTGCATCGTATTCCTCTTGGATCCCGTTGCTGTTAATTTCCTGGTGTCGACATCTTCGGGATTCTTTCTTCATCCTCTGAAGCTGGTTTTTTCGCATTTCTGCGGAACATCTACTGGTGTCATAACCGCTGTATTGAACGCCGATGACTTCTGGCAGTTCTGTTGGAGCTGGTGCTGGGTGCCTTTGTTGGACGATATGCTCTGGCTTCATCTTAGCAAGCTGGTATTTGTCAAGTCCCAAAAAATAAACGTCCACCATCTTAATTTGTTGATTGGTAATCTGTAACAGAAAAATTTGATAAAAAGAGTGTAAAAGTATTAGCGCGCAAAAAAATATTGTTGAGTGAAAAAAAATTTTTATAAACTCGAAATAACTAATTATTTAAAACCACGTGGTAATTTTGAAAAAGCGGGAAAAGTTATGTAAACAGGTCCGTGGCTCAACAAGTTATGAAATTTTTTTAGATAAATTTTGGTATATTTATACCAAAATTGGATGTGAAGAAGTATACCAGAACTTAACCAATGGTAGAAGGTAAACCAACCCCCACTTTTCTAAAATGTCTGTACGAGTGAAGGAGATGGAGTGGGGGTTGGTTTACCTTCTACCATTGGTTAAGTTCTTGTATAGTTCTGGTATACTTCTTCACATCCAATTTTGGTATAAATATACCAAAATTTACCTAGAAAAATTTCATAACTTGTTGAGCCACGGACCTGTTTACATAACTTTTCCCGCTTTATCAAAATTACCACGTGGTTTTAAATAATTAGTCATTTCGACTTTATAAAAATTTTTTTTCACTCAACAATATTTTTTTGCACGCTAATACTTTTACACTCTTTTTATCAAATTTTTCTGTTACAGATTACCAGTCAACAAATTAAGATGGTGGACGTTTATTCTTTGGGACTTGACAAATACCAGCTGGCTAAAATGAAGCCAGAGCATATCGTCCAACAAAGGCACCCAGCACCAGCTCCAACAGAAGTACCAGAAGTCATCGGCGTTCAATGGAGCGGTTATGATACCAGTAGATGTTCCGGAGAAATGCGGAAAAAGCAACTCGAGAGGATGAAGGAAGAAGCCCGAAGATGTCGACATCAGGAAATCAACAGCAACGGGATCCAAGAGGAATACGATGCAAAGCTGGCAGTAAAAGAATTTGAAAGCCAGATATTAGAATCTGTAAATTCTAAATATGACCAAAAAAATCCTTGTTTTTATTATCGGATGATTCCGAAGATTCTGTAACGACTTATGTAGAGTTATTTTTTTTTTTTTTAATTAAATATTCATTTGTATTTATTTTTTATAAAATTTTTATATCTGATTATGTAAATATGTAAATAAGTAATCAATATAAAATTTTTTAGCTAATTATTAATAAAATTTAAATTTAGCTATATAATTTGTTTCTTACTGTAGATTAAGAAAATAGAACCAATAAAAGTTGAATGATTAAATATGTTAATAATTTATAAATTTTCATTGTTTCAGTGTTCCAATTGTTCTGGTTGGAAACAAAACGGATTTATACGTGGACCGAATGGTGACCACCGAGCAAGGAAAAAAGTTAGCCGATTCATGGCAGGCTGTTTTTTTGGAAACTAGCGCCAAACAAAATGAATCTGTTGCCGACATATTTCATACATTGCTAATGGAAATTGAGAAGGCCGACGGCAATGTTCAAGAAAAATCAAATTGTTTAATATCATAATTAATAATTTAATAATCAGTTAATTAATAAATTAATTATTGAACGATTAAATTTTATGTTTTTGTTTATTAAGATGTAATAATAATAACTTTTTTCCTATATATTTTTTTTAATTGATCAAGCATTTTGCATTTATTTTAACGTTAATAATTATATTTTTAAATTTTTGCTCTACATACAATTGATTGTTATTTGTAAATAATTATGGTAATGACAACATTGTAATTATAAATAAATAAACAAATAATATGTAAGAGACATAATTATATTCTTTTTTTTCTTCGTTTAGAAACTGAATTTCATTTTTAATTTATGCTGTTAAATTAAAGTAGATAAGATATCGATAAAAATAATCTATTTTTCTACTTGAAAACTTTAAGAATTAATACAGTAGTTGATCATTCATTTCTCTTTATTGTTTATTCCCATAAATGCAGCCATTTTGTATTTGTACTGTGCACTACACAACTAGCGCCACAGATCACATTTTCGGGATTTTAATGCTTAGTAAATGGCATTTAATTTTTTTAGTCTTTATCTTTGTTAAAAGTTTCAGTAATCACAAAAGAATATAAGTATTTTATTATCTATTTTATTATTCTTATAAATTGAAGAGGAAAAATTAATGAGAGAAAATTATTTTTAATTATAAGTATTAAATTTTGATTTATTTCAAGTAACTAATGAAGAAAACAATCATTTTTTTGGCCAAAGTGTTTACTTTTGTGGAAACAAAAGAGAAATTTGATATTTGAAAAGAAAATAACCTATTGTTTTCGAATGTTATTAAAAATTGCAATTGAATAAATTATTACCATTCGCCAGTGTAACTTTTATGTACGTAAAAAAAACTAATTAATACTTAATAGTTTATAAATGCAAACAAATTAATAAAAATGGATATTTTTAATCATTTTCTTATATTCATCTAACATATCTCGTATCGAAGTCGAATAAAAATGATCTTCCATCATATAGTAGTTGTATTGCTTTAGATGTCATTAAAAATCCCTTACATCACGATAAAGGCGTTTCCTTTGATCTTCTGACTAGGCAATTAGGGTAAAAGAACCCATTAGTGGCGGGGAGGTACACGGTGAAAAATTTCTGTAGAAATTTACTATGCATACATAATGCATCACTCCCGCGGCGTTTGAACTAACTCTCACGTTTCTCCATCTCCGTTTCATGGACTACATCATATCCTGTGGAGAATTGAATCATTGGTAAACCAAAAGAGCAAACTTCGTAATTGTTTTGATTCATTATTTTTTTAAATAAAAAAACTACTTTCGTTGTTTCCTAAACTGAAAATGTTTTAATTTAAAATTATGTACTGTCAGTTTAATTTTTTTGTGAGGCTTGGTGTTGTATGAAAGCATCGTCCTTTGTAATTTATGAAAAAAAAATTATGAAATAATCGTAACATTATCAAGTTCATTAAATCATTAAAAATGACAGTTTATAACGTATCGATATAGAACGTTGTACGTAAAATTAAATGATCCGAACAATGTCAGTGTTTATTCCTATCATTATTGTCTTTCATATAAAACAACACTGATAAAAAATTTAACTTGATTCAAAAGAAAAAATCTTGAATCAAGAATACCATTTTGAAGAAAATAATTTTCTTGTGTCAAGAGGAAAAATTCTTGAATTGAGAATAATTTCTTCACGGTGAGAAATTTCTATTATTTTTTATGGTGCATATTACTAGTGAACCTTATTGACTCAGAATGAAATTTTACAATGGCCCATAGTAATTTCCGAAACAAATGAAATCAGACATAGCAAACGGTAGAAATTGAAATGTACCATAGTAAAATGAAATATGCAATAATTTAAATTTCCGAATAATTTAAATTTACTATAGCAAAAAAAATAAGAAAATGTTTGTAAAAAATAAAAAATTTTAATTAAAAAATATTTTTAGCAATCAAAAAAAATATCAAACCAAACAAGATTTTTTTTTTTGTTTGTAATAATTTTTAAAAATATTTTTTTAAAATATAGTTTTTTTTTATTTTTTTTCTATTTTTTTTTTTATTTTTAACAATTAACGTAGGATTTATTTTGGCAGTTAATTTTATTATAATTAATTATAAACACAATATATAACTTTTCCATTATTTTTTATTATAATAATAATATATTATTAGAAAAGTGTTGGTTGCAGGTTAACCATCAAATGTTTGTTTTAATCTTAATTTTTCTCGGTAAATTATTAAATATTTTATTATTTGGGAATCTTACAAATTTTTATTAATTATTCATATGTTGATGGATTTATAAACTAATATTTATTTAAAACAATGTTTATTGCAATTAACATATGAATAGTTAATAAAAATTTGTAAGATTCCTAAATAATAAAATATTTAATAATTTACCGTGAAAGATTAAGATGAAAACAAACATTTGATGGTTAACCTGCAACCGACACTTTTCTAATAATATATTATTATTATAATGAAAAATAATTTAAAAGTTATATATTGTGTTTATAATTATTTATAATATAATTAACTGCCAAAATAAATCCTTCGTTCAAATTAAAAATAGAAAACAAATAAAAAAAACTATATTTTAAAAAAATTTTTTTAAAAATTATTACAAACAAAAAAAATCTTGTTTGGTTTGATATTTTTTTTGATTGCTAAAAATATTTTTTACTCTAAAATTTTTTATTTTTTACAAACATTTTCTTATTTTTTTTGCTATAGTACATTCGGAAATTTAAATTATTGCATATTTCATTTTACTATGGTACATTTCAATTTCTACCGTTTGCTATGTCTGATTTCATTTGTTTCGGAAATTACTATGGGCCATTGTAAAATTTTATTCTGAGTCAATAAGGTTCACTAGTAATATGCACCATTGTAAAATTTAAAATCCATGCAGAATAAAAAATAATAGAAATTTCTCACCGTGTAACGATCGTCTAAAAAATACAAAAAAATTGTAAATTTTACACAGTAAAAAATTTTGCGTCAATGCGTCAAAAAATTTTGTGTTAAAAGTTTTTATGTTAAATATTTAACACTTTTTTGTGTTAATTTAACACTTTTCTTTGTTAATTTAACATAATAAATCTTAAATTTACACATAAAAGTGTTAAAAATCTAACACAAAAATTCTTAACACAAAATTTTTTGACGTAATAACGCAAAATTTTTTACTGTGTAGATTTTGAAAAAAAAAAACATAATAATGTTAATTAAATACCAAAGAAATATTTTTTAAATACTAAGAAATTATGTTTAAGAAATGATTTCTTAAATACAAAGAAATCTTCTTAAGTGTTAAGAAATCCTTCTATCAGTGTTCTAAGTCGAAAAATTATTGTAGTAAGCTTTTAATTCTGAAATTTTTGGCAAGGGTCGGATCCAGTTGAAACCGGGTTTTAAGTAGCCAATAGAAAAACTATAAAATACAACTAATAAATAATTTTTACATTGAAAATCTCTCATAAAAGTTCTGTTCAAATACTTATATGTAAAAAGGTGGCCAGTAAAACATCGGAATTTTCCCAAATTTTAAGTCTGCTGTGAAAATTAGTTAGTTAACTATGTTTTTAATAGCTGTCTTCAGAAATTACAAAAAATTTTTTTAGGGATTGCTCAAGATTTTAAAAAATCTTCAATATCATTCCAAACGGAATTTTTTCGTGTAAAATTTTTGTTTCTTATCATATTACTATTTTTTGGATCAAAAATTATGAGCAAACCGAAAATTTCAAGTCGAAATTTTGATTTTTTTAAGCTTACTTAAAATTTTTCACTTTTTTGTGTAAAGAATAATTGAAGAAAAATTTGAAGAAAACTTTGATTTCATCTAAATGAAAATAAATAAAAATGCTACATTTTTTATACTACATATTTTTTCTATATTTACTTATATCTTTTTTACTTTAAAATTCAACATTGTTGTTATTATTTAATAATTATTGTCTATATAAAAATGACAGCTGGGTTATACATACCTAGCTATTGTCTTGTTTTGATCTAAGTACCTTCACCCAGTATGTAGTAGTTCATAGAATTAAGCATAAAATTAACTATAGATTATCTTGTTATAAGAAAAAAAAATAATTCTCTTACACAATAGTTAATTTCTATACTTAATTTAAGTGCCATTATATAATTAGTTGTCATTCATATTTTCTGGAATTAATATTTTAACTGTTCTGAGCTCTTTGAGCTCAAAAATATAATTTTTGTGCCATATTGAGCTCTTTGAGTTCAAATGTTTGCTCGAAGTTTAATAAAACACTATTTTATGAACCTTTAAACCGCAAGAACTTTTGAATGAATGAACCGATTTTTAAGCGGATGGCTTAAATTCATCAAACTAGGAATTTCGAAGTAATTCTGAAAAAACAGATTTTTCGATTTTTTTCGTTAATAACGATAACTCACAAACGAATCAACCGATTTCAACCGAGTTGACAGCGATCGATGTGGTTTGTTGATGTTACCAGCTGATAAATTTTTGAAATCGATCGATGAAGCCGTTTGAAATTTATTCCGAAAAAAGCACATTTGAGAAAAATTTTTCTTGTAGTTTTTTTTAGATTTCTCAAAATCTACCGGTTCGAATCGGTTCAAATTATATTTAAAATCTAAATTTGATCGAGCCCTTTTAAATGGCGTCCACCACGATAGAATCGATCAAGCCGTTCAAAAGTTATAAGAGGTTCAAACTCTGGAAATCGAATTACTGCTGAGTTTATTAAACTATATTGTCAATAAAAATTTCTTTTGAAGGTAGTAGACAACGAAAAAATTTTTAAATAAGAATAATTTCAACAGATCAGTTTCAATTGTATGAAAAAATATGCGTGAGAATTATTAGAAATTTGATACATGCATATTTGAAAATTTTTATTCTGTGATTTTTTTTTATTTAACGAGAACTTTTGACCATTCTACTATTGACAATACTATTTCATATTTTTTAAGAAAAAATTATGTTGGATATCTACTTAAAACGTT